TTGCTCTTTTATATAAAGCTCTTTCTTATACACATATGGGTGTCTATGAATTTGTTTCTCTAGTCCACCCAGACTAACACACTCAGGGACCTCTAGGGTTAAGGTACAGCCCACTTTGTTATGTATGTGGTTACCTGTAGTTTGAGGGGCATGCATGCCCCACAATCTATGTAAGATGATGAGAATACAATCTCTCTGCTTGGGCCTGATTCCTGTAGTCATGGTGGAGGTGAGCACCCCAAAACTTTTGTCTGTCTTTTCATTTCTTCCCTTCAGTTACACAACTGTCTCTTCGGACCCATCTGGATATGAGGTTGGACATCATCACAACCTGCGTCCCTAAAGATCACAAGCCGAAAGAGCTGCCCATGAAGGTGCAACTCTGGGTCTCTCCCAGTCCGGAACAAAGCAGAGGTAAAAATAAAATACAATCAAAGACTCAAGGCAACCATTAGTTCAGAGGACTTGTGGAACATGTCAACTCCAGCCTTCACGCCCCTGGGACCAGAAGAACTAGATGGTGCCCGACATCCAACTACTCTGAAAGGGAGGATCACAATGGGTGGCCCTGGGTGAAACAGGAGAAATGTGAAGCAGAACTCGAAACCATAACCAAGACCAGGCCTAGTGGTCTGGCAGTGACTGTGGAGTCCCCCGAGGCTGGGGCCCTTAGACCACCTTCAGGTCTGGAACAGAACCCGGTCTGTTCCAGATGGACTCCTTTCAGCCATACGACAGATGGGTTGAGAAGGTGAACGGTACCATGCAGTGAGAATTACACAGCTTAGAGACAACCCCATAGAGCCCTTCTTCCCTGTGGCACATGGGCTGGTTGGCCGGCCAGAGTCGGAATCAACTCTCCAGGCAATGAGCAACCACCACCACTAAACCATGGCTGGCCGTTGGAACCCGTCCATCAGTGCCGAAGGAGAAAGGTCTGGTGTGTTAGTCCCGGTAGACCAGAGAAACAAATCCAGAGACACATATACGTGCAAGAGAGAGCTTTATATCAAAGAGTCATTGCGTATTGAG